AATATACAACTTTGCTTCACACAACTCCTTCCAAAAGTACTTGGACCTCAAATTATAATTTTAAGAATACATGGTCATGAAACAAAACACTTAGTGAAATTTTGCCCTAATTTGGTCAGGTTTTTGAACTAACTTCATGGAAATTTTTCATATAGTTCCAAGAAGAATTTTCAAAAGTGATTCAAATATGGGTTTTATATCAAATTGCAAGCTTTCCAAAATGTCCAAGAAATCCTTGAGATCATTTTTGAGTAGGGAGAATCGAAGAGATGAAGTTAGGGTTTTATCACTTGAATTACAAGTCATTTTGTAATGAACAAGATTCAAATTCAAAGTTATGATGCATAACCTCTACTTTGAAGGCCTCAAACTTGTTAGGCACTCCATAATTAATTGCTTGTACAGCTGTTAGAGGTCTCAATTCAAGCATTCAATGCAAGGTCATGCTTTATATCCATTTTTGGAAGAAAGTGCACAATGCCATTTTGGTAAAGTGCTTTTTTGCACAAAACATGTTCTTGAGCCTTGAATTTGTTCTCTTCTGATCATACATGTCTCATAACACAAGAGAAATGATTTAGACACTAACAATCACTCAGCCCATGGTTGTACCTCCTCTTGAAAATTGTTTTCCCACTTTTCTTGAAAATCAAGTAACCTAGCAAATAGCTTGTAACTTGTACTTCTGACTTTCAAAACCACTCCAACCCTTTTGCTTATAGATACACAATCCATTTTCCACAAATAACACGCATGCTTGATCCCTAAAAACACCAATAGCTCAGAACTGCATCACATACCTCCATTGTTGCCTAACCTGACCAAAAGTTTGAAACTCACATCTCCCTCGTGCGTTTACAAAGCCTTTTGGTTCCTAAAGTTTCTAAACATCATTTAGAACTCATCCCACACCCTGTTACAAGACTGTAACACCATTAACACCATCCTCCATTTTCAAAAACAGAGCTTTGCACTTGGACTTCTCCATAACTCCTCAGGCACTTTCAGCTCAAGTTAAGCATCACATTAGCTTCCTGGGAACTTGAGGAAGCTAATCCAATCATTGGAATTCACTGAAATCTACTCAAACACCAAACCCGATACCCTCTTGCAAGGTAAGTTTTCTGACTTTGGAACATTTCATACATGCATCATTAATGGTTTATTTGTGAATGAAAAATGTAGATACCATTGCCCTAAAGCTAACCATGTTCATAGTTTTCATTAATTTTGATTGAGCTTAGAGAATTTTAAGATTGAAGTTTCTGAGATTTTTAGGGTTCAGATTAGGGCCATTTAAATTCATGCTTATCTTTGATCTATAACTTTATTGTTTTTCATTTCTGAAATCGCGAGGAAATTTGCTGAAAGTTTCATGTTTACAGATTTCATTTTTGTTGAGATTTGAATAAGATACAAAGGCTCTGGCTGGGCGTGAGGTTGAAGATGAAGTTCAGGCCATGGACTTGTTTACTATCATATATTTTTTGTTTTGATTATATAAACGGATGTATAGTCACCCCATTGGTAGAAGCACGTGTCTGTGACTTGAGGGACCTGGGTTCGAGCCCCAATGGTACCCTTTTGGATTTTTCACATTTTTTTGCATTCTGACTTTCTTTTTGGCAGCGTTGAGCCTAACAGCTTTGGGCCTAACTTTTTTGTTACTTCTCATCCCCTGTTTCACTTACACAGCCCCTGGCCTATTTTATTTTCTTTTTCTTATTTTTATTTATTTGTTTTTCTTAAATATTTTATTTTATGCTAAAAAATCATAAAAAATATAAAAATATTAGATTTTTATTTTCACATAGTTTATTTATTTTTTCTCACAAAAAATTATTTTATTTAATCATACTTTATTTATTTCACTAATGGTTTTTGTAAATTTAATTAAAAAAACTAGGGTTTAGTTATTTTCTTTTACACAATTTAAAATATATCATTTTAATATAAAAAGACCAAAAATATTTTATAATACTATAAATTATTTTTAAGACAAAAATACCAAAAATATTCTTCTTCTAAACTTAATTTCTTTTAATTAATAGATTAGGTTTTATTTAATTTCTTTTCCAAATAAATTTAGGTTTACTTTTCATTATTTTAATTAATAATTTTCTTTTAGTTAATTAGGTTAAAACAAAACCCTTTTTCCCTAAAAATCCAAATAAACATTAATTCACTTTACACTTACATTCTTGTGTATTTATTCATACTTGTATATGATACTCATTTAACTTCTTGTACATTTATTCAAATTCAATATGGTTGTAATAGATAAATAGGCTTTAAATTCTTGCAATACCCATTTGTAATTTGTACACCCCCTAGCGTAGTAATTTTAAATTCCGTAATTTATCGCTTTATATAAATGCTAGTAATTAGGGTTTGTATGGAAAGACTAAAACCAATCAATTAGAAAGCCCTAATCAAATACAAAATAAAGCATGAAGACAATACACTTGCACACAAGCACCCCCTAGGGTAAATCCACTTGGTTGCCTTACAAAATAGCCATATTACGCATGTGAGGTATCTTAACAAAAACAAGCAAAGTATAAGATCATAGTCCCTCGATGACGCTATTTAAGTTGCCTTTCATATGATCTTAGTCCCTAAAATAGAATGCTAAGATATCTTGCAACATTGCTAATCATGGTTATACGATGACCCACGCCCGTCCCGTTTACATCCAAAGATAGGGTTACTTACCAAAACAATGGTAAGATAACAATGTCAAAGGAAAATAAAATGAACAAGAAAGACTTTTGAGTAGGTAGAATTCTCCTAATTACTTGCTCCATTTCAAAACAAACATCCTTGTTATTTTCAAAACAAACACCTACACTTTACAAAACATCTTACAAACTTGAAAATATTTTCAAGAGATCAACATCTTTGTATACATTCTTACGAACGAGAATCATTACAAAAGTTTGCCTAAACAATGGCCTCTTTACAAAAGTGTCTTCAAAAACCACACAAAGCACAATTTCAAACAAAAAGCAAGTGATCTAGCAAGTAACTAAGAGCCCATGGAAAACCATGGATGAAAAGGGTGCTAATACATTCCCTTTTCATAATCTACCCCCCGAACTCAAGAAATAATCTCAAAGGTCTTTCCTGTACCTTTTCACATTTCCTTTTGGATAAAATAAAAATCGGTGGCGACTCTTGCTAACCGTAACATTTGCGATCAAACACAAAACCTTCAAGTCAGTTCTTCCACCGTATCACAATATCATGTAAAGTTATTATCAAAATCTTAAGGTCAGGTGTAGAATCACCTTCTTGTTCTTATAATATCTTATCCCATAAGAGAGAGAGAGAGAGAGAGAGAGAGAAGAGAGAGAGAGAGAGGAGAGAGAGAGAGAGAGAGAGAGAGATGGGAGGGGAGGGAGAGAGAGAGGGAGAATATATATATATATATATATATATATATATATATATATATTATATATATATATATATATATATATATATATATATATATATATAGAGAGAGAGAGAGAGAAGAGAGAGAGAGAGAGAGAGAGAGGAGTGAGGGAGGGGAGTGAGAGGGAGAGAGGATGGGGGAGTGAGAGGGAGAGAGCGGGAGGGAGAGAATATTTTTGTATTTTAAATAATTTATACTATGTACGAAAATTTATCTCATAGTTTAGTTTGAGTTGTATTTATATCTTATCCATAAACAATAAGAGAGAGAGAGAGAGAGAGAGAGAGAGAGAGAGAGAGAGAGAGAGAGAGAGAGAGAGAGAGAGAGAGAGAGAGAGAGAGAGAGAGAGAGGGAAGAGAGAGAGGAGAGAGAGAGAGAGAGAGGGGGGATGGGGGAGGGAGGGAGAGAGAGAGAGAGAGAGAGAGAGAGAATATTTTTGTATTTCAAATAATTTGTACTATGTACAAAAATTTATCTCATAGTTTAGTCAGAGTTATATTTATGTCTTATCCTATAAATAATAGAGAGAGAGAGAGAGAATATTTTTTATTTTAAATAATTTGTACTATGTACAAAAATTTGTCTCATGGTTTAATTAGATTTATATTTTGTCTTATCCCATAAACAAATTTTAAATCAAACGCATGTCAACTAAAGTTGTGTTGTTCACCCTAAGAGTAATATTAAATTTCTATTTCTTCTTTTAGATTCCTAAAAATGCGAGATTCAAGAATTTACCCTAACTAATCAGATTTTACTTATATAAAATTCTCATTTGCAAGTACAAAAGTTATTAGCTTCCATAAGTGGTTGTCTTCACTTGTCTTGTCTTTTATACACGAGAAGGGATTGTCTCCCACGAAATACTCATGCAGTGAAATCTTAAGCACTTTAAATTATAAAAATTTATGAGAGAGAAAATTTTAAAGGATATGATTTGCACTTCTACCTCTCCAGTGGAAATCACATCGACGAGAATCCCCTCCCTTTATACACACTCCGACTTTGGACAAGATAAAGAATCTGACAAGCTAAAAATGACCATATTATTATCATGAGAAGTGTAATGGTGACCCTAAATTGTAACACAATATTTTTTAAATTGTAACACCATATTGTGTTACACCAGATTTATTTTAGGTGGAACTCAACTTTCAAAATACATGAAAATAATAAGATAAAGAAAAATGTACCGTATATAAATATGGTGTAGATGTCAAAATGAGTGTTATTTTAACATTTCTCTATTCTCATAACAATGAATAATCGTATACTACATTCAAACAATTAAACACTTGCATATCTCATAGTAATCATGTTTTTAATAAAACACAACCCACATTCATACCATTTCAACTAGAAAAAAAGTCATTCATACTTACATTTCAATCATTGAAAGTATACTTCATTATGTGACTTAAGATCATAGATATAAGAAGTCAATGAAATATTTTGGTACAAAAATATAATACTTATCATAACATAATTGTACTATAATTAACTCACCAAATGCCTAGTGTGCATACAATTATATTATAATTAATTCATTACTCTAGTCAGGTTATGGGATCACATTAATATCTTTCTCTTGGACTTCTTCTTCCATGAGGAATTCTTTTTCTGTTTCATGCTCTTCTTCGTGATAGACTTCCTCACCATTTTTAGGAATTACTTCTGAACTAGTTCCATCATTACCATCCTCACCATTCCAATTTTTCAGTATTAGTTTCCACAAATTTATCTACTCCATCATGAGGATTGTTATTACCAATGTTGACATCTTCCTCCACAATATTTTCTTGACTATCTATGGGTTCATCATCACTAGAATCCTCACTTTCCGTCTCTTTTATATTCAAAATGTTATTAATAAAGGTGTCCAACACATGTACATCAACAAATTGATTCTTCTACATGTTTATCTCCTAGTATCTTTTCAATACTATCTTTACCGGGGGTTTGTCACAGGCATGCATTGATTCTAGGGGTTGATCCAGGTTGTTTGAATAAACATCTTGAGCCTTGATTCTAAGCTTAGCAGTTTCAGTAACATTTTTAGACACAATTGTAGTAATATTTACTTTAGAAGGTTCAAATGTTTTAGAAGCATTACCTTTACCAGTTTCTAGAAATACGATTTGAAGGGGTGAGATCTCAATAGCTTCTTTTGTTGGATGCTCTACAACATTTGCTTTAGTACTAGGAACCTTGTTGTCCTTTGAGGTTTTAATGACGTCTTCTTTTCCTTGTCCAGTAAAATTAGACATTGCCAATGACACTCCAGTAGTGTGATCACCCACCTTATTTCAATTTTTCTTTTGAACTTTCTTCGATGGTTCACTGGTGATAGGACCTTTGGGCGAAGCATATTGCAGCGCACTTGCCTTGAAATTGATGGATTTTAAAGACAAAAATGTGGTCCAATAACTCTCATACCATCTCATTATTAATTTCAAGAGATTCTCTATAATGTAAAGACCTAGTGGACTTCTCAATTTTTTGAATTGTGCAGCATGTAGAGCCTTTGTAAAGATGTCAACTAGTAGGCTTTCAGTTTTAAAATGATTCGGAGTGACATTATGTTCATGACTAGTAACTTCTTCCTCTTCATATTCACTCACTTCATCTTGTTGTGAGTCATCCATAATAACATTTATAGATTCCATCATGACCTTTGTGTGATTATTATACACTCGATATTTCCTAATGTTGGTAAAGTATCCAAAGAAAATTCCTTCATCACTCTTAGGATCCATCTTACATCTTTTCTCATTATCAACTAGAATATAACACTTGCTGCCAAAAACATAGAAATGTTTGACATTTGGATTTCTTCCTTTCCATAGTTCATAATGAGTAAATTGTTTTCCTAGTCGAGTGGTTACTCTATTCTGAATGTGACATGTGGTATTCATAGCTACAAACCATAAGTGGTACGGGATATTCTCGTCATGCTGCCCCAATACACACCCCATTGAGTTTTCTAAAACAATCAGATACATGATCAATGGTCTTCCCTCCACTGGTGGCATTAACACAGGAGACTCTTGCAGGTATTCTTTGATTTTTTCAAAAGCAACTTGGCACTCGTCATTCCATTTGACTACTTGATCTTTCTTCAACAATTTGAAGATTGGTTCACAAGTAGCTGTCAGGTGAGAGATGAATCTGGAAATGTAATTCAAACGTCCTAAGAATCTTTTGACTTCCTTCTCAGTATGAGGAGCAGGCATCTCTTGTATTTCTTTAACTTTGTCAGGATCAACCTCGATACCTTTGTTACTAACGACAAAGCCTAGAAGTTTACCAGATCGTACCCCAAATGTGCATTTTTTAGGATTCAACCTCAACTTATACTTCTTCAGTCTCTCGAACAGTTTTTGTAAGTGATCAAGATGCTCTTCTTCTGTCTGAGATCTGGCTATCATGTCGTCCACATAGACCTCTATTTCGTGATGTATCATGTCATCAAATAAAGCTACCATGGCACGCTGATAGGTTGCCCCAGCGTTCTTTAGTCCGAATAGCATCACCTTATAGCATAAAGTGCCTCACTGCGTGACAAATGTTGGTTTCTCCATGTCCTCAGGCGCCATTTTGATTTGGTTGTAACCTGAGAATTCGTCCATGAAGGAAAACACTTTGTGTCGTGCCATATTGTCAACTAGGATATCAATGTGGGGGAGTGGAAAATCATCCTTAGGGCTCTCCCTATTTAAATCTCTGTAGTCCACACACATTTGCATTTTGCCGTCTTTTTTGGGAACGGGAACAATATTGGCAACCCATTGGGGGTAAGAGGTGACAGCCAAAAATCCAGCATTGAATTGCTTCATGACTTCTGCTTTAATCTTTTCTGACATATCAAGCCTCATGTGGCGAACCTTTTGCTTTACTGACAGACAATCTTCTCTTGTAAGCAAATTATGTACCACAATGTCTGTATCAAGTCCAGGCATGTCTTCATATGACCAGGCAAAGACTTCAACATAATCGTGTAATAACTGAATCAGACACTCCTTGATTTTGGGTTCCAGATTAGCACCCATCTTGACCTCTTTTTTGTCTTCTTCGGTACCTAGGTTGATTGTATCCACAGGTTCCTCGTGAGGTTGAATGGTTCTCCTTCTTGTTGTAGCAGTCTGGAAAGTTCCTCTAGTACTTCACAATCTTCCTCACCTTCGTCTTCGACTTGGTAGATTAGATTCTCAGAGTCACAAAAGGCCATAGCAGTATCTTTACCTATGGGATCCCGAATGGATGTATACTTGCATTGTGAGTGTGGGTGTGTGTAAGGGTATATCTATCTTTGAAAGAAAATAAAATGTAAAAGAAAAACAATGAGCACAAAAGTTTGTATGCGAAAACATCCATGATTCATTGATGTCATATGAAAATGAGATAATAACCCTTACAAATGGACCATTGTGCCTCGGGTAAGACACAAGGTTTTAAGAGTGCGAATTGTTTCAATATTACAGATCCAACAAAATGTAAAGACAAATTACTGTGGGATAAAAGTGATAGGGACAAAGTCTCTAGCCTCCCAATTGTTAAGCCCTCCATTGACAGTTGGGAAGATCCAATCCTCTAGGTTGCAACCATCTTCACCATCTTCTATCGCGTTGACTTCACAGTTGCTGATCTTCAAGGGTGGTCCTCCAGCACGAGCACGACGTACAGCCTTTTGAGCACTTGAAGTGAAACCTAGGCCAAACTTGTCAGACTTATATGGGATATCTGGGAGTTGTCCCCAGATAGTTCACCCTCCTTCTTCTACCACTGCTTTGGCATCCTACATCGATGACATCCGGAGTGGAGGCCTCGTAATCTCGAGAACCTGAGACACAGCCTTGGTCACTGCCACATCTTGGGGGACTTCTTCAAAGTGTTGAAATGGAGTTTCAATAAATTCACCATCTAATTCCACATATCTAAAGGAATTGAAATGGCTAATCATGTACTTTTCCTCTCCATGAACGGTTATAATCTTCCCTTGAATTGGATACTTCAGCATTTGGTGCAACGTAGAAGTAACAGCGCCAGTATTGTGGATCCATGGTCGGCCTAGCAAGCAGGAGTATGAAGGGCGGATGTCCATTACATAAAAAGTCAAATTGAAATTTTGTGGTCCAACCTTTATGAGGATATCCACTTCCCCATGCACCATCCTTTTCGAGCCGTCAAAATCCCTTACTACTATGTTGCTTGGCTTTAATGTCAGTCCCTCGCAGTCAAGTCTATCAAGAGCTTTTTTGGATAATACATTCAGAGATGAGCCAGTGTCCACCAAAACATGAGCCAAGGTTGTGCCCCTACATTCAACTGAGACATGCAATGCCTCATTATGCTTCCTTCCCCTTGGTGTTAGACCAACATCCGAAAAACCTAGGCCATTATCTGTTGTCAAGCTGGATACGCAGTCTTGGAATTGATCTACAGATGTCTCTTGAGGTACATGGGTGGTTTTTAAGAACTTTACCAAGGCTTTTGCATGCGCCTCGGAATATAGTAGTAATTCCAGCATGGAGATTTTAGAGGGAGTTTGCCCCAGTTGTTCAACTACATCGTAGTCTCTTTTATTTATGATTTTCATAATTTCCTCCATCTCTTTCTTGGAGGTCTCAAGGATAGTCAATGACTGAGCCTTCGTCCGGACAGGCTCAATCAGAATATTTTTCCTCGAGTCTCGGTTAACTCGGTAGCAGGAGTGTCAGTAGGAATTGTAACGGCTTTTCCAATAGGAGTACTTGCATAGATGATTATGGGTGTGGTAGTAACCTTTGGAGCAGCCACAGGGATGATTACGGGGCCAGAAACGGCCTTTGGGGGAGCAATTTCTGGAGAGAATATCCTACCGCTTCGGGTAATCTTACTAGTCCCTGCAATATTACTTACCTCGGAATCCACTTTCTCGGAATTTAAATCTTCGGTGGCTGGCCAATCCTGCTTAATACCATGGTAGTAGACATCCCCTCCATAATTCCATGGTACGGTCTTGTCTGATGAATATGGGACTGGTCCAGGAATTGTGATTATTAAAGGAGTTGCTTTCGAAACTGATGTAATTCTAACAGGTCTTTTGGTGGAGACCCTGGAAGAATTGGCAGAAATGGTAATGATAGAAACATCTTCAAAAGGAACAAGTGGAATAGAAGTCTTCTCGAATAAAATCTCTTTGTTATCTATTAGGCACTGAATGCCTGCTTTCAACAAAGGACAGTTGGTTGGTGAGGATAAACAGAAATGGCAAACTTCATCACAACCCGGGAACACACCGGCATTCAACAAGTTCATTTTAATAGTCAGAAGCGGGGTCATAAGTTCATCAACTGAAGTAACAAGCAATCCTTCTTCAATGGCATTGATATTATGGCCATGTCTGGGCATAGGGGAAGAAATGACATTTGACTTCTCGGGCGCATCGAATTCATTCTCTTTTGCTTCAATGAGGTCTTGTATTTTGTTCTTTAGGGCCCAACAATTATTAGTGTCATGACAAGGACTTTCAGAATGATATGCGCAATGGGCATTGGGATGATAGTGAGGAGATGTTGTGTTGGGGTTTTTCGGAGCTTCTTTCAAGGTCGCCAAATTAGATCTTAGTAGATGCAGTAATACTTGAGACGGGGTCATGTTGATTCTGGTGAACTGCCTGACTGGCCTTTCCATCCTTGGTTGATTATTTCTTTGCTGATCAGACGCAGGCTTAGGAATCATAACAGCCCCCACCATTGGTCGGCGTTTGGCTCTATCTTGGTTTCTTTGCGGATATATAGAAGCCATCTCTTTCTTTCCAATGAAAGGCTTCCTTACCGCTGTAGAAGAAGATGTATCTTTCTGAATCTTTCCACTCTTTATACCGGCTCCTACCCTTTCTCCGGTCAATATTAGTTCAGTAAAGGCTGCAGATGAACTTCCAATTAAATGATTGAATAAGGGACCAGACAAGGTGCCCAAGAACATGTCTACTAATTCCCTCTCAGATAGAGGGGGTTGAACTCTTCCAGCCAAGTCTCTCCATTTTTGCGCATAGTCCTTGAAACCTTCATTGGAAACCATGGCAATACTCTGGAGTTAAGTACGGGTAGGCACAAGATCAGCATTGTATTGTTATTGTTTGTAGAAGGCTGCAGAAAGATCTTCCCAATTGTGAATGTTGGCTCTTTCTAGTTGGTAAAACCAATCAAGTTGAGTTCCAGATAGACTATCTTGGAAGAAGTGCACCCATAAGTCTTTATCAGCGGTATGGGGTTAGATTTTCCTC